CCCAGGCCTGAGCATCCCCGCTCCAGCACCGGCTATCGGGGCGGGCGGAGAGGCCCCGCCGCCAGATTACATACCCTCGGCCGGGTCTCCGGTGTGCCACGGGCTCTGGGCTGGACGCGGGCTGAACACCATTCCCGGGATCACCCCTGACCCGGCGTTGCCCCGCCCACTCCACCGCCCATTGGCCACTCCGCTCGGCCCCGGTCCGCCTCGCGAGTAACGTCACCGGTCCTGGAGCTCCACGTGGAGCCCTCGCGGCGGCGCAAGTGCGGTGAGGCCACGCCCATCGCGTCGCGGGGCCGGGCGCGCGCCTTCTGGTGTACGTGGGGGGCTGCGGGCTCCGGTAGGTGACAAGCTGTGTATGAGCCAGCAGTGTCCTGTGGCCAAGGAGGCCAGGGCTGTCCTGGGCTGCATTAGGAAGAGCATTGCCAGCAGGCTGAGGGAGGTGATCCTGCTCCTCTACTCAGCCCTGGTGTGGCCACATCTGGAGTGTGTCCAGTTCTGGTCTCCTCAGTACAAGAGAGACATGGAGCTCCTGAGTGGGTCCAGTGGAGGGTAACAGAGATGATTAAGGGACTGGAACATCTCTTATCAGGAAAGGCTGGAGGATTTCAGCCTCATGAAGAGAACTGAGAGGGCACCTTATAAATGTATACAAGCATAGATATATGTGTATACATATATGTGTGTGTGTGTGTATATGTATATATGTATGTATGTATATGTATGTGTGTGTATACATATACACATATACATATATACAGTGTACACAAGGGAGGTGCCAAGAGGATGGAGCCAGGCTCTACTCAGTGGTGCTGAGCAGAAGAAGAGACAATAAGCAGAAATTGATACACAGAAAATTTTATCTGAACATGACCAAGAACTTTGCTTTGTGGGTGACTGAGCACAGGTACAGATTGTCCAGAGACATCTTGTGGAGTCTCTATCAATAAGGATATTCAAGAACAGCCTGGATGCAATCCTGTGCCATGTGCTCTAGGATGACCCTGCTTGAGCAGGGGAGCTTGGACCAGATAGATGACCCACTTGCAACCCGGTCCATTCTGGGCACTTGGGGGTCTTGACAATCCTGGCCTTTGATGCAGATAATTCCCTCCCAGAGGATGCATTGGAGGGATCCCACTGGTGATATCCTAGGCAGAACCTAGGACTGCAGTGGTGGAGCTGGTGGCAGTGAGGCATAGCATGTGTCCCATTCCTAGGGCAGTCCCCAGCTGCCCCTGCTCTGGTTGCTTCCCTTTCGCCCCATTCACGAAGGACTGCCATGGTTCCTGCCCTGCTCCTCGAGTGGGAATTGCTGTAGCCTCTCCTCAGTGCCCATTGCAATTTATGTGTCTTCTGTGCTTCCCCTCACACCACACACCACAGATCTCACTGTTTCCATATTCGACACCTACACAACCACTGCTTTCGCCTCTCGAGGTCAACCCTCGAGCAAACCTCGGCCCCGGGGAGCTGGGGATGGCTTTTAGCCCATTCCTCACGCACCGCCTGGGTGTCTCGTGTCTAAGTTGCTGCTGGAGCGGGGCGGTGGCCGTGGGGATCAACATGCAGAGAGCCCTGGGGTGACTTCAGAGGGCGGTGGTGGGGTAACAGCATTTCCGGCCTGTCTCGCCTAGGCAGGGAGCGAGAGGCCACACCCGCGGTGCCGGGACAGCGGCCGCCGGTGCGGAACGCGGTTCTGTGCCCGGGCATCAGGCGGGAGGCGTCAGGGAGTGGCGACCACAGCGGATGCGATGTTCCTGGCCGCAACCCTCGGGCAGGGCGTGCCGGCCGTCCCCGCCCCTCGGCACCTGGCGGATCCACGGCCC